TGTGTTCCATGATACTTCCCATGGCAAAAGCCCTTAAAGCTCCCGTTTGATGTTGTACGACACTCCTGCTTCATGTCCAACCTGCATACAGATGGACATATTGAACACATGATTTTGGCCACAGAAACCACAATGCATTAACTGCAGCAATTCAGTGGGGCCGCTACCACTGAATTTTGACTCTAAAACCTCAGAATAGTTCTTTTATTGACGCAGAGCTACAATATATATGATTTATGTCCCTATCAATCTGCTCTCTTCGGGCACATTCTCTAAGCTGGGCCTCTGCTTTCTTCATTATATTTTTCTCATTCAGTTAAAGGAACAGACCAAAAGTTGACAAGCACAAGATTTAAGGAGTCTTAAACATGTCATTTAAAAAAGTGCCCTCCATACACATTGAAGTCTATCAGACCTCCCCAGTGAAAGCTACTAAGGATATTTTAGCATTCTGCGGTGAGTCCAGTGTTTTCCATTGATGATACAAATACAGAAATGAGTATTTTAAACATAGAGCCTTTTGTTTCATTTCATCTAAGTTTGTTTATTTATTTATCGTATCAGGAGCAAACCAAAAGTACAGCTGCTATGTATTTAAAAACACAAAGTTTAAAAACTTGCCAATATATTAAATGTCTTTTGACCAGTACCTGGCCACTTGGAGTGCCTTTGGTGTTGCTATAAGAAGGTCCTCCATTGTGCATGTGGCAGGGCTCAGGCTGCATTGTAGTAGGAAGCCTGCGGTTTGCTCTTCTCCGCATTCACATGTCGTGGACTCCACTTTTAAGCCCCATTTCTTAAGGTTGGCTCTGCATCTTGTGGTGCCAGAGCACAGCCTGTTCAGCGCCTTCCGGGTCTCCTAGTCTTCTGTGTGCCCAGAAGGGAGTCTCTCATCCAGTCTCAGTCACTGATTGAGGTGCTGGGTTTTAACCTCCCACTTTTGGACTCTCGCTTGTTGAGGTGTTCCTGGAAGTATCTCTGTAGATCTTAGAAAACTATTTCTTGATTAAGGCTTTGGCGTGCTGGCTGATATCCAAACAGGGGATGGGCCGGAGATGTCACTAGTCTCCAGGGCAGCAGAAAACAAGGTTGCTCCCTGAAAACCTTCATCTCCCAAGCTGTTTCCAATCTCACTGTCTGCTCTGATGTTTGATAAAATATTTGAGAAATCATAATAGCACTCATTAAAATAGAAAATTGGCTATCAAACCTAAAATGAAAGAAATGTGAGGACAGGAAAACTGTAGCAGAGTATCCATCATGGACAGGAATGATCCAAACCTATGCTCCCACTAAAAAAGTATAACACAAAGAAAGTATAAGATTCTGTGCTGGCATTCAAGAATATACCAACAACATCCAGAAATATATTGACCACATGGTGATAATAAGAGATAGGAAAGCAAAAGGAGGAAACACAACAGAACCAAACATTATCAGAAAAGTTGACCTAGCGTCAAAAATGAAGCAGGACTGTATTTTGTAAGAAAAGAGGGCAGTTTAGGTTTTGGGTTCAGGTTCAAGCAGCAAAAGGACTGAACAACACCACTGCACTATCGCTATTTCCTTTTGAGTACCAACACACAAATCCCATGCCCAGTCCAAAGGTGCTACTGTCCACCCTAGAACCAACAATTCATGTCTTATATCAACTTGGCAGTAGAAATGACAACATGGAAAGTAAGGGTCCATATATAAGCAGTTTTCTCTCTCATGAAAACATCCCATTTTTGGGACCTGACCACTGTGCTTTTCTTGCTCATGTAATAAACACTCTTCCTCTCAAATCATTTCAGAGAGAGTTTATTATTTCACAGTCCTTGAAAATGTGACATGGAATAATTTTAGAGAGCAAGTGGCCCTACCTAAAGTAGGAAGCTCAAAGAGTCCACCAAATAGTTTGGAATGTTATTGCTATCTATGTCTGAAACAAACCTGGATATGTTTGAGTTTTGGCAATTCTGTCTCAGCATACGTCTGAGAAACATTACACATTCTGATGCAATCGGTATACTTGTCCATCACGCAATCACAATAGAGCTCTTTGAGACAATCTGTTATATTGGGTTAATCCACTAAGTTTAACAATACTGACTGCTTGAACCTCAGGATTAATACTTTTTAAAAACCAAGCCACATTGCCTAAACATACAATAAAAAGTATAACATAGAAAATATTCTTTGTGAAGTACACAGGACAATGGTATTAGACCTTTGTACATATCCAGTTTCCATGGACAACATTGGGTTTTCTGACAGCAACAGAGGGCATATGACTCTGAAGTGTACTAGTTGGATTAAACCAAACATAACAGTGAAGGGGATTGTTTCAGTTGGAAAAACAGAATTACTTTGTATTGATACGTGAAACCATTCATACTAATGAACCCTATTGAAATTAAGGATACTAGCCCAAGAATACCATAGAGCTACACCAGAGAACCTAGGAAATTGTTGGAGAGTATCTATTTTGTCAGATGAGGATAAATGACAACCACGAATATCAGTCCTTAAAATACGAGGTTGTACTGTATTCCTTACTAGCATTTGGACTTCTAGTTTAAATGAAGGAGGCAAGACATAGAAATCAATGAAACTATTTTAGGATGAGATATAGAAACCAATGAAACCAAATTTTACTTCTGGACCTTTTGCCAATAAAATTTAATATAATTTGGGGTGGGGTGGGTGTTGTGAAACAATGTTGTTGTTGGGTTATCGTAGGTTTTTTCGGGCTATATGGCCATGTTCTAGAGGCATTCTCTCCTGACGTTTTGCCTGCATCTATGGTAAACATCCACAGAGGTTGTGAGGAGCCCAGAACCCAAGAGAGGGAGGGGCGGCTCTTCTGCACGTGGCTGTGGCTGCTGCTGCTGCCCTCGCCAAGGGGCTCCATAACTCCTTCCGGTTGTTGTGTCCTGCAACAGCAAAGGTTGCTACGGGTCCTGCCGTGAGGGCTGATATATGCCCCTGGTATATGCCCCTGGCACAGCTGGACATGGCAGGACCCCAGAAGGCAAGGCAAAGAAGAAGAAGGCGAAGAAGAAGGCGAAGAAGAAGGCGAAGAAGAAGGCGAAGAAGGTGAAGAAGAACTCCTGCTTCTGTTTTTATTCCTCCTCAGAAAGAGGAAGAGAAGAAAGAAGTTTTCCTTGAGATCCAGGCTGCCCGAGTCTGTGTGAATCTAACTGTCCCATTCTCAGAACAGAGAACATTGAATTTCTTAAGGAGACCCTGTACTAATAAAATAGGAAAAATCTAAGTGCTATATAAATAAAATTTGCAAATTGTAGTTCAAATGAAAAGAGCTTTAGCTTTGTTGAAGTGAAAAACTTCAAATAATTAAATTCTGGTCTTTAGTTAAAGTTCCCCGTTATCCCTCTCTAGACTATCTTAACTAGCACAAGAAATAATGTCTGAAAAAAAATTGAAGGCTTGTACTTCTAACTTCCCTACTTTTCTTCTCCTGTGTGATTTTAACATATTTTCCTGATGAAGAAGCCATTGGAGCTTCAAAGGTTTGCATGATGCATTTTCTTCATTTTAGGTAGCCAATAAGGTTTTGTGCATATTAGGTTTTGTTGCATTTTGCTACATGGCCAACATGGTTACCCCTTGATATATTTTATTTAAGCTGTGATATTCTAATGTAGCAAAACTTATTTACCCAGCTGTCTAAATTACAGTTTTAGTTAGTGTTGAATTTCTGGAACACAGAAACGTGTTTTGTTACACATAGGGTCACATGCTACCCACGTGCACCCCTGTATCTTCCCTGTCATTGAACACCAGGCCATTCCATGTTGGCTAGGACACAGTAAAACTGCTATAATTTTCAGCAACACTGTTTTCTCACAAGCAATGATACACATTGTTTTGATGAGATGCATGATTCCTAGTAATTTGTTGGAGATGGTATATTCTAAAACATGCTGTGGACAAAACAAGTTCCCTTGATGGTCTCCAGCATGAGAGTCCATTTAACTGGTTAACCAATCATAGGCTCTGATGATTAGTCATGCTAAAACAGGGGTCACTTCTTTACTACTTGGGCTGCAGTTCCCACCAGATATATCCAATGTAGCCAATGATAACAGATTATAGAAATTGTAGAAATTGTGGAGAATTACACATTGCCCTTACAACCCAACAATGATGCCTGAATATAGAAGTTAATGAAAATAAGCCACAACATCAGTAACTTCAGAAATTGACAACATGACAGCCATTGGCATGAATTTGACTATGAGAACCCAATTAAGTCTAATTAATTCTGTGGCTCCTTCTCAGCCTCATCCCCCGAAGGGATCTGAGGGTTTTATGGGATTCAGCACTGTTTCCTAAGTAGGTGATCTTGGAACAATAAGTGAATTCTACCATCCTGCTATATTACTGGAAATTTCAAAGAGAACCAATCAAAATTAAGTAGTTTAAGTATTTAGTTTAATGTTACAGATATGTAACATTAAACTAAAGATTCTACCATGATTTACATGGAACAGGAGGGGAGGTGCAAAATGGTATCCAAAGATAGCAGAGAACATAGCAAAATATTTTACGTCATAGGTTTTTTGGAAAATCCAGTGCTGTATAGAGGCAAAGAAGGAGGGAGCACAAAATGGCCAATAAACTTTCTCAAAAGCCATGTCCAATTATATAGCCTTGCATACTCCTCCTGATGCATCATGACACAAACAAATGTTTTATTCTGCCAATAGCTTGGGGGGGGGGGGCATAACCAAATCTTGTACTAGAATCTGATGGAATGATGGGAAGTTATTTTTAAAGTCTGCCTACATCTGTCCCCAGAGATTAATAAAAATGAAAAAGTAGGATGATATATAATAACCAGGATAAATCTTTTAGAGATGTTGGTATCCATGCCATCCCACAGTGGCCGTAGACAATCCAGGAATCAATTTGTAAAAGTAAGACGTCAACCAGGTGTTGATGGACTACGCTTATAACATTTGGGCAAAATGTCTCCTACATTGCTGACTGACCTGAGGCATGGGTACATCATGTCTGGAACCCAGGTACTTGGCACCATTGTCTGTGATGAAGTCAGCATCACAAATAGAAGGATAGTTCATGCTCTGGGGCTGTTTCCTATTTCTATACACCTGTAGGAAAAAGCTGTAATGATTAGGCGCATGAGGTCAGAACTACAGGAAAAGTGGGGACTTTTAGTACAAAGCAATAGTTTTACATTCTATTGCTTTGAAGGGGACATAGGTATAGCATCACATGTATGATTCAAAGGGCAGAATCATTACATTGAAATAAGGGGCAAGAGGGATCCAATACAATGGCATGCTCATCTGTGAATGACTTGAGTTCTAAAGAATTGGTTGGCAACTGGCAATGGGTTGGGAGAGACAGGTATGGCTTTGTCTGGTATGGTTTCCTACTTCACACAAGTCACAGTAATGAAACTGAAGTCTGAAACTGCCACACAAACATTCAGTAAACATTATCAACTCATTTCCATTTCCCCAGATTTTCTACAGGAGAAAGAGGGTTGACAACACATTCCACACCACAGCTTTTGACGTTTAGGTTATCTGAGCATCCATCTCTTTAGGTGAAGCAAGGGCAGTAGGTATAACCATTAAAGACTTCACAGTACTGAGAAATAGTCAGTCCCATGGAAAATAATATACATTAGTTAGTTGGATGTTTTTCATGCAAGTTTTAGCTCATCCTTCATTGAAAGGGAAGCACATGTATCCATTTTATTCTCCTACCAGCTCTAAAAGTCAGGTAAGCCTGAAGGATTGGTGACCTAGAGAACATCATGGAGTAGGACTCGGATCTCCCTTGCCCAATGAAACATACTAATTGATACCTCACAACACACTACAGATTATTTTTGTGATTAGTTTTATTATCATTACAACAGAAAAAGGGAATGCAATTTAATTATTACTAACAGATAAATCCTATTATATTATCTTAAACACTCATACAATGTGCATGTTTAGAACTGAAGCAAATTATAGTCCAGTTTCTGCTATCCAGTTACATCTGTAACTTCCAGATAACCTTGCAAAAAGCAAACAAGCAACTGTCATACAACCTTTGAGCAAGCAGCTATAATATAACAATATACAAAATGGGGAAGAAGTAGGATGGTTAGTAGGCTTTTGTTGGAGGAAAACATCACAGTATGATGCTCTCTGTTGTTTCATCAGTAGAGTGATTGTCATGATGGAAAGAGGGAAAACAGGATGTGTTTGATCCAATATATTAGACAAGTCAGTCATGCAACAAATTACAAAATGCCAATTAAAGAGTAGTAAGGCAACATACATCCTTGTCCTACCTTTTTCTCTGGCTGTCACAAGGCAGGCTTGGTTTAAAGACTTGGTTTAAAGTTAGAAAAAAAACTTTAAACAGGGATTTTAAGGTCAAACTTCCAGAAAGAATAAAGAGAAAGGAGAAATTTCCAACCTGCTGTTTTAACTGATGGACTAATCTGTCTTTTTCTCTTTTCAAAGCCATCACTTCTTCTTGGGTTTTCTTCTTCTTTGACGCAGACAGTTCAAGCAAGGCAATGTTTGCATCTTTTTCGCTGATGGCAGCAAGCAGTGCTTCCTGTCTGATAAAATTTTGGAAAAATGTATCAAAACTCTTGGACAACATTTTTCTTTACAACTGACTTCTTAAAATAATTCTGAAGAAAAATAGGCAGATTATACAACATCACCTACACATAATACCCTGAAGATTTATTTCTAGGCTGATTTCTAAAGACATTGCTGCACAACTATTGCTCAGAACAACAACAACAACACTTCAGATCTTTACATTACAAATAGAGGGATAAGAATAAGGTAATATGGATTATGGATTATGTGATTTTAATAATTGATGTGACTATTTTACATGTTTTAATTCTTTGTTTTTAATGTAGAAATGTTTTAAGGCATTTAATTATTGCCAATATGTGAAGCCACTCTGAGTCTCCCTAAGGGTTGAGAAGGGCAGCGTACAAGTAAATAAAAAATAAAAAATAAAGTATCATTAGATATACACTTACCTGGAATAAACCACATTAAACATAGGCAAATTGAATTCTAGGTAAGCATGCATTTTATGTTGAAGTCAGGGTACAAAAATGCATACAAGAAATATAATCTATGTGGTCTGGCAGAAGGGCAGAATGCCAACTAGATCAATATTAGCATCTTATGTTCAGTTCATGGACCACAATGATCAATGCAAGGGCCTGGACATCAATGAATACATCATAAATCTAAGGAACAATGTATCCAGGTTTTGCTAATTTGCACTGTCTGCTTAGATGAATGAGACCATCCTGCAGAAAGTACAATATGCACATCTAAAAAATGTCAGAAAAGTAGATGGTGATCCAAGATCAGACATTTTTTAAAATATATTTTTGTATTTTTCAGATTTTTACAAGTTTAACAGCAAACATCCAATTCCTCCCTGTAAGTCACAGTCCAAATACTTTATCTGAATTGCAGATGTTATCCTTTTACATTGTGTGTTTCTATGTAATGCTTTAGAAGTTGCACAGATCAATTGTACATAAGAAAAAGGAAATACATTAAGGACCTCATCACATGGAGGTACAGAAGCTGAGGGGGACAGCCAGGGGAAACTGTGGGGCAGCATTCTGCTTTGTACTGTTACCATCATGAGTTGTGGGCTGTCATCCCATGTTTCCCTGCTGTCTCCGGCTTCCTCCTGTTCTGTCCCTAGCTTCTTGTATGAGGAGACAGGTAGTCACCTGATTCCTCAGGGCTCTGTCTCTGCAAGCTGCTGACATGCAGCTAGCATGGAGCCCCACAGGAGGTAGCCCGGTGTCATTTAATTGGGTCCTGCAGCGTGCCAGCAGTGCGCAGAGACTGGGAAAACTGCCCATCTCGTAAGGTCAAAAGTGATATAAACAGCAAAAGTAAATTAGCAGAAAAGTTTGGTGGTAACACTTGCTTACAATCTGTGAAGCACTTATTTATTTTATTTTATTTATTTATTTACTACGCTTATATACCGCAATTCTCAGACTGGGGGCGACTTAATCTTATTATACTATTAATCCTACTCCTAGTGTTATTACTATTAGTCATAATAGCAGCAGTACAGAAATAGAATGCTTATTCAATTTGCAGATGACCCTAAGTTGGAAGGAGTAGCCAATTTTCTACACAACAGGATTAGAATTCACAGTATTTTTGCCAGATTGGAAAGCTAGGGCAAAAGAAATATAATGGACACCAATAGGTATAAATGTGAAGTGCTATATTTATGCAGGAAAAACAAGTACAGTACACAAATATAAGATTGGTCATAATTGGATTGACATCAATGCATGAAAATAATATTTGGGTCATAAGGGACCACAATATAAAATGAGTTAACATTTTGATGCAGTGGCCAAAAACAACGATCAATTCAAATCTAGGCTGTATCAATAGGAGAATAGTGTCCAAATCAAGGAATGTCGTAGTGCCATTCTATTTTGTTTTATTCAGCTTGAAAAGGAACATTGTGCCCAGTTCTTTTTAAAAAATATATTTTTATTGTTTTATCATAGTTATTACATTTGTTATGCGTTTGGTTATAGTAGTTACATATTATTCAACGCACTCTTTAACATATAATCTTATTATTCTGCTTAAGCATTTTTCCCCCTTTTTTCCCACCACTATGCTCCCCTCCCCCCATATCAAGCCACAACTTTTACATATCGTCTGTCCAAAATTTCAATTCTTCTTGTGACGGTAACTTTCCTTCTTTGTTTTTTAAACCATTTACAACAAATTTTCCCCATACAACATCAAAATCACTTTGTTTCCATATACCTTTTTAAACTTTTAATCGTTGTGCCCACTTCTAGACACTATAGTTCAAGAAGCATATTGACAAGTTGGAACATGTCCAGAGGAGGGTGGTCAAGATGACCATTAACAACAACCTATGAGGACAGGCTCAAGGAGTTCGGTATATTTATTTATTTATTTATTTACCATATTTGTGTACCGCTTTTTTCAGCCCAGAGGCAACTCAAGGCAGCTCACAGTCGGCAACAATCCAATGCCTCAACAATTATAAAACAATTAAAACAATTATAAAATACTATTAAAATATTTAGCATATAATATAAAAAACATACAAAGCCATAAAAACATTATCATGAGCATCTCCTTACTAAAGTTTAGTTTAGAGACAGAGAAATAAGATTGAGAAATAATGTAAAAGCCATCTTTTAATATTTGAAGAAATGTTAAGTAGGAGATGGAACAAGGTTATTTTCTGCCACTCCAGATACTAGAAAATGAAACAATGGAATCAAATTACAATAAAGATTGTCCATCCAAATTTTAGTAAGAAAATTTTGAGTGCAGGAGCTGTTTGACAGAGGAATGCATTGTTTCAAAAGTGGTGGACTCTGCTTCTTTGGGTGTTTTTAAGCAAGTTTGGATGGACATCTTTCAGGGGTATTCCAATATTCTAGTATTGCATTGAGTTAGCCTAGAATTTGTTTGTGGTTCATTCCAACTCTGAATTGATGATGATGATTTTTAGTTAAACCTCACATTTTCCCTCAAAGATAAACTCAAGGCAACTATGTAAAATTTGTTAAGACAAAAAAGTGATCCTGGAAATTTAGGGTATGAGATGTAGGGTGACATAAATCTCAAGGGACCAGTGGCAGCAATTGTAACCTTTTTGGCTACCTAATTCCTCTACCTGGAGATTCTGGAAGCTACAGTCTAAAAAGTAACCTTTTCCCCATTGGCCAGAAACCAGTTTATCAGATATATCAAAATTCACAATTGGGTATCTCCATATTAGTTTCTATGTATGAAATCACAATCAAAAGAGTGTGTTTCCATTGAACATTGCTGAATAAAAATATCTGCAAAAGAAATACTGAAGAGACCTTAAATTCAGCATTCACTGCTTAGAAACAGCATGACGCTACTCTCTCAGAACAGAAAGGCCCATTAAGTACAGTTTCTTTCTTCTGTTGCTTAGAGATACAGTGCTACTGTCCAACTCAAACTCAAGGATTCACATCAAATGTTCAACTGATCCTGCAGTGAGTTTTATACAAAGGCACAATACATGAAAAAGCCCCTCTTGTGTAACTGAGCGCAGAGGTACAATTAGCAATGGATGAGCTGGTTTGGGCAGCTTAAAATTCAACCTGTAAGAGTTTTTTCTCTTAAAGATCATGTATCCTACTTTATCACATTTCTTTGAATTCTTGTGCATCACTGTGTTTTCTGATACTGATAATTGTGAGGGAAAGGAAATGCCAAAATTTTCTTAACTATTATTGTGGCATTTCTCAAATATTTGGAAGCAAGTTCCAAAAACTAATTTGTTAAAGGAGTATTGCTTTTTCTTTGGTCCTACTATTCAGCTCAACTACATATTTTATTTGTGTATAATTCGAACACAGAATGCAGCTTTTTAGTATATAACAGAATAGAGATATAATTGCAGGACTATTTTGTTTTCACATGCAGGGATTATTAAAGATATGCAAAACTTAAAAAAAAAGATATGCAAAACTTGTGGGGATGGTAAACCTGTTGCCTCATCCCCAAACCAACAATTTTAATATATGTATTGTGATTTGCACCTACTTCTAGCTTTTTTCCTATTGTGGGAGGGGAAACTAATATTCCTCCTCAGTTTCCCCATATTCAAATCTCCTTAAATGATGCAGTAGAATTAATTATTCTGTGTAGAAAGACATATGGATTTTTGTGCACCCTCCCACGCACACACACACAAATGTTTTCTGCACTGATGCATTCGCTTGTGTACTGGAAATAGGATTTTTCACAAAACTAACCATGTTTTCTTCAGTAAAAATTCAAAGACATAGCCTTTTTAATCTGGATCAGTATGCAAAGCAATCTTGTTTCACCTTTGAAACTAATTGAGAGGAAGAAGTTGGCCACAAAAGCCTTCATAGACTTCATCAGATGTGTGGATAAAGTGCCTAGGAATATATGTTTATCTTGATGAATGAAAAGGTTGTGTGTATAAATAGCAATAGAAATTACAAAAATGTGGGGATAATGATGAAGTAACAAGTTCCATTTTAAAGATGGCCAGTTTTTCCTTGACAACCATTTTTAAAAGTGAATGTTGCAGTGCTATTGCTTTTCACATACACAACCTGATCATTTATAGGTATAAATGTCTTGACTTACCAAGTTTCCATGAATGCAATTTGTTCACTCTAGCTGTGAATAGCAATAGGATTTATATCTGAGACTGATGAAACACTGTGGTTATACAGTAGAGTCTCACTTATCCAACATAAAAGGGCCAGCAGAACATCAGATAAATGAAGATGTTGGATAATATGGAGTCTCCTACTGTTACCCATCTGACGCAGCACTAAACACCAAGAATACTAACAACAGGGACTCAAAGGGTTAAGGCAAGGCAATGCCTCAGGGCTAGAGCGGCCCAGCAGGAAGCGCCCAGATGTGGAAAAGGAGCATGGAAATCACAAGGGGGAGAAGGGAGGACACTTCCACTTCTGGTTCTGCCTCTTTTTCCCATTTCCTTCCTCCTCCTCGTCTTGTCTTTTTCACTTATTGG